CACAAACAGAAAAATATCCACCATCCTTAGAAACCCCAAAGATAAAATTGAATTAGAAAATCAAGGAGTATACGAAATCCCATGCACCACTGGTCCCACCACATACATCGGACAAACCAACAGAAGAATAAGTGCACGCATTGAAGATCATAAGAACTCAATCAAAAAAGAGGAACCAACATCTTCCCTGGTCCAACACCTTAAAGCTACAGGACATGAAATTGACTTTAAAAATACCAGAACCATTGCCAAAAGTGAACATTTTAATAACAGAATAATCAGGAATCCATCGATATAGAAAAGCACGCCCACACAGCATGAACAAGCGAGATGATACCTCCCGCCTACCAGCCATTTGGAAACCTGCCCTTATTGACAAACAACTCCCTAACCCCAAAATCTTAAACCCCTCTGCAACTCAGATTAACCTGAGCACAACCAAACAGAACACTCCCCCAGCCAATCAGAGCACAGCCAAGCCCCTAACCATTCAGAACACACCTCCACCCAATCAGAACACAGCCAAGCTCCCCTCCAATCAGTTCATACCCTCACTGGCAGTTAAAAGGAAGAAACAGCTAAAACCACACATTGCTGCTCAAAGCAAGAAGCTAAAATCACCAGCCTGAAGATGACGAATGTGACTTCGTCAAAACGTTGCCAAGACACTTCCAATTTTACGCGGGAGAAAACCCGAACAACCAAAGACCTATATACAAATACCCGCGAAAACCTCAGAAAACAAATATCGAACCTCTACGTGGAGGAAATCCACCATCTGACCAGGACCTATGAAAAACTTGAAGTCCAAAGAGCTTCCATTTTATGTGACCTCGCATTCCTACGTAACTGCCGAGATCAAAATCTAATCCCCACATGTTTCCAACTGAAATTCCACTCCAACTCTGCAGCCCCCACACGGATCCTGAAAAGAACAGAATTGGCCCTAATCAGAAATGAACTTCACACAAAAAGACTTCCTCGCTAGACCGAATTAACAAAGATCTCCTCACACTCCACCTCAAAACGCAACACGCCACCCCGCACTTGGACAAATCCAAACAAACTCGCCGTCTGAGAGCGCGAAACACAGACCACCCTCAATGACAGATACACACACCACAACCTCGAGACCTACAAGAACGCCAGAAACAAACCCCTCCTCCCTCACAGCCACACATGAAACAAACAGTGCATAACATCTCAGATAGGATCCTCACCAAAGCCGAAAACAATGTCCTTTCCAAAGGATTCAACTTTGCAGTCACTCCCAAACACATCCCCACTGAAACCATTATATGTGGAGTTGAAGCCAGCCTAACCAAAATCAACCCCGACGACGCTAACAGAATCAGACGCGAAATCACCAACATCCTCTGCAACCAGCAAGCCACCCAAAATGCCTCTTCCAAAGAGGAACAGACAGCACTACGTAACCTGAAAGCCGACACCAGCATAATAATCCTAACCAGCAGACAGGGCAACGCCACGGTGGTTTATGAACACATCTGCTACCACACCCAAATTAACCACCTACTCCCAAGACTCCACATACAAACCCCTAAATCAGATCCCACCACCTACCTGGAAAAAACCACAGAACCATAGATAAAAGCCTCCCCCATAGCGAAGAGTCCACAAAGAATCAGTCCCAGAGAGAAATCATCCAGATGCCCCAAACTCTATGGTCTCCCCAAGATACACAAGGAAAGAACCCCACTCAGACCTATAGTCAGCTCCATAAGCTCACCTCTACAAAACCTAGCCAAATTTCTCGCCAAACAACTACAGCCCTATGCAGAATCCATCACCTCACACGTAAAAAACTCATTCCAGTTTATAGAGATCATAAAGAACCAAAGCTTACAGCCCAGCGACCTACTAGTGAGCTTCGATGTCATATCCCTCTTCACCCAAGTGCCTATCAAAGAAGCCTTGACAGCTATTCAAAACAAATATAACCCCCCCAAACACATCTTAGATCTGACCACCCACTGCCTATCCAACACCTACTTCATCTATAATGGACAAAAATACAAACACACAGAAGGAGCACCCATGGGATCACCCCTCTCACCTGTCATTGCCAACCTCTACATGGAACACTTTGAAACCCAAGCTCTAGAAAAATCGGATCACAAACCCAAACTCTGGCTCAGATACGTAGACGACACCTTCATAATCTGGCCACATGGGAAAAAAAAACTGGACAACTTCCTCACACACCTCAACAGCCTACACCCCAAAATACAGTTCACCATGGAAACAGAAGCTAACAACCACTTCCCTTCCTGGATGTCTTAGTCTACAAGAAATCCAATGGCTCCCTAGGACACACCATCTACCAGAAGAAAACACACACAAACCGCTATCTGCACGCTCTCTCACACCACCACCCAGCACAGATCAACTCTGTAGCCAAGACACTCATCTCCAGAACAAACGCTTAGCTGACGAACAACACCTCAAAACCGAACTACCACTCTCACCATGTACTAACATCCAATGGATTCCAAAGAAAGAGATTACAAACCTAATCCAAAAGAAACCCCCACTAAAATCCAAGTGAGAACAAGAAAACGCAAAGCCCTCCTCCATAATAAAAGGCACCCACAGAACAGAATCAGTAAGATACTCCATAAACACAAACATCAAAACAGCATTCTGCCCAAACAGAAAATATCACCTCCTTGAACCCAAAGATAAAATTGAATTAGAAAATCAAGGAGTATACGAAATCCCATGCACCACTTGTCTCACCACATACATCGGACAAACCAACAGAAGAATAAGTGCACGCATTGAAGAACATAAGAACTCAGTCAAAAAAGAGGAACCAACATCTTCCCTGGTCCAACACCTTAAAGCAACAGGACATGAAATTGACTTTAAAATACCAGAACCATTGCCAAAAGTGAACATTTTAATAACAGAATAATCAGAGAAGCCATCGAGATAGAAAAACGCCCACACAGCATGAACAAGCGAGATGATACCTCCCGCCTACCAGCCATTTGGACACCCGCCCTTATTGACAAACGACTCCCTAAGACAAAAAATGATACCAGACCCACACTCACAAAAACCACACAGGATGTCACCACCACACATCCACGCAAAACGCAAACCCAAAGCCACACCGATGATGAGGCACGACCACAAACCAGAAGACAGACCAGAGCTGCATCATTAGCCACTTCAAAGCCCTCCAATCCATACACGAAGCAAACTGACACCCTCCATGAAAATGAGGCACGACCACAAACGCGAAGCCAAAAAATAGCAAGGCAGAGGCAGCCCAAAATCTTAAACCCCTCTGCAACTCAGACTAACCTGAGCACAACCAACCATAACACTCCCCCAGCCAATCAGAGCACAGCCAACCCCCCAGCCAATCAGAGCACAGCCAACCCCACAGCCAATCAGAGCACAGCCACGCCCCTAACCAATCAGAACACACCTCCACCCAATCAGAACACAGCCAAGCTCCCACCCAATCAGTTCATACCCCCACTGGCAGTTAAAAGGAAGAAACGGCTAAGACCACACATTGCTGCTCAAAGCACGAAGCTGAAAACACCCGCCTGAAGATGATGAATGGGACTTCGTCGAAACGTGCAAGACACTTCCAATTTTACGCGGGGAGACAACCCGAAACCCAAAGAACTACACAAACACGCGAAAACCTCAGGAAAACATATACTATAATCTATATATACTATATATATAATCTATATATATACATATAATAACACACCCACCCACACACACACACACACACACACACACACACACACACATATATATATATATATATATATATATATATATATATATATATATATAAAATAATGCAGAGTGACATTGTTATAAACTTTTGCAATATCTTCAATATCTGGCAAATAATTTTCATTTCAGGGACCTCTCAGAGGATCTTGGAAGACTCCTAGGTCTCCTTTGACAACTCTTTAAGAAACACTGCTTTTGAGTAAGATCCTAAAGTTTCTTTATCAAATGTAAATCCATTACTTTTTTTAAAGTTAGGTCTTATGTTGTGTTTGTCTTCTGTTTAGTAAACTAATATTAAACTAAATTTTCAGATGAATCAAGGAAGTGTTTTTTCTGTAGTCAGTCAAGTTTGTGTTGGGAAGAATATATGTTTATGAATATGACCCTAGATTTATCATGGTTATAAAGCTGGGACTATTGTATATATTCATTCCTTATTCACATCAATATAGAATTTTAAAAGGTGCTTTAATTGAAAGAAAAATTCCTGACCATATGAAACATAACATGTTTTAAATGTATTTTTAAGAAATACACTTCATAATACCTTTTCAACCACTATCCTTGATATTAACAAAAGCATATTAATAGGTAAAGGAATTGCCTTGAAGGATTATAAATGAGATATTATTCTCTAAAAATGTTTAGTTGCTTTATGCCTCTTCACAAAATCATAACAGGCATTTATGAACCTTTTTTTTTAAATAATAATGTTCATTTGCAGGGAGATTACTGTACTTATTTTTATACCTAAACAACCATAATAGTTTATTAAGCTTGTAGGCTGCCCAATTCTTAACAATAACCAGGCAGAATACAAGAAGCATACAAGAAATACATTACTTTTGTTCTTAAAAAAAAAGTAAAAGACTGAAGTGGTTTTAAAATGGCATTTTGGTAGTGGAAATTCTGGAATTCTAGAATAAATTAATTAGAAAACAACATTTCCATACCACTGGGAACTGTCATCCATGGTTTACCTAATGAAAATACATCCACTGTTCTGTATTCAATGTAGAACTGTATGAGCAGCATGAAAAATTAATTTAAGTTTATATGTGACTGCACTTTCCTCTCCAAAAAAGGAAGTTAAAAGTCTTTCGTCTCTACACATTGGAATACCAGTTTGAATCAGATCCCTTTCACTATTGAAAAGAAAACAAATTTTGTAGCAAGTCCTGAAAGCAGCATTTGTGAATTAATATGGAAATATGCTTGATAACACCCTGGCATTATTTCTTGATATTTTGAATTATTCTAGAAGCTTTAATCTCTTGAAAGTGAGACACGGATATAAATTCTTCGATATATCTTGTCCTCAAATACTTTCCTTCAAGTTTTGTTTTCTGTGATACGGTATTAAAGGAAATTTCTCTACTCTACATAGGTTTATTTATTTAACTTCACAATTTTTGTAACCCATTCAGCTTATAAAAATCTATACAGCAAATTAAAATGATAAATGCAGCAATACAATAAATGAAAATGATAAAACGCACAAGAACAATACATCAACAATAGTAAATCAGCTGTACTGCTTCTTAAAATGAAGCTCTCTTTAAACCTATATTGTAAAGATTTTATGCTTTCCGTTTTTTGCTGTCTTGTTCATCGAGCATTTATAGAAACCTGCTTTTTTTCATTATTCTATGTTTCTCAGTTCCAATAAAGAAGAATATTTGTAGATTAGGCAAAGAATCCCTTAGACCAGCCCCACCCACACAGACAGGCATGACACCAGAATATAAACCGACAGCAAACAGCACTCCTTACTCGCACTGATGATGTTACCTAGTTAGGTCAATGAAATGTCTGCAAAAAAACAAGCAAGTTCAGAGAACACCAAGGATCCCTCACTTTTTGATGAAATTGCTTGGAAATCCATTTTGTTGGAAGATGTTGTATAGATGATCTGATTCCTTTTTCTGCTGTTCAGGATTGCTGCAATGTGTTTGTGCTCAACTAAATAGAGTTATCCATTCTTTGTTTATTGTATTAATTTTCTTTTGGCTGTGACCGTATTTATGGACTTAGGTGTAGAATTTTTTTTAGACAAGAATTTACACTCCCAATGCAGATATGCTTAAGACACTTGAAAAAATTTACGGTGGAATATTCAAAGAATTTTTAAAAGAAGGGTAAAATTTACTCCGCAATTATTTTTACTAGGTATTGTTATTGACTGTGATGCTAAGGAGGTTATATTGATGTTAAATTTGATTACAGCCGCTAGGTTGTTAATAGGACAATATTGTAATAAGGAATCTTTGCCTACTTTACAAGAATGGTTTCATAAAGTTTCGTATTTGGCAGAAATGGCAAAGATTTCGGCTTTCCTAAAGGAGCAATCTCAAGAAAAATTTTTTGCTGTATGGGAAAAATGGATAAATTTTATACAACATAATTTGGATATGGAAAAATATTATTTAGCCTTTTTATAATTTGTAATGATTGTTTTTTCTTTCTTTCTTTCTTCTTTTTATTTTTTATATATATACATTTTTAATGTATTATTATTCATATATTTTTTTTTTTTATATATATATATGCTTTATTTTTCGTCTACTTTCTTCTTTCTTCTTTCTCTCTCTCTCTTCTCTTTTTATTTTTTATTTTTTTTCTTTTTTAGTATATCTTATTCATTTTAAAGTTTATGTTATGTATATTATTTCTATATATATTATTACTGTGATTTTTATTATTATTATTAATTATTTTATAAATTGCAAATGTTATTTTTAAAATATTTGTTAAATAATCCTATATTCAGTTCTGGGAAGTCGGGGGGGGGGTGGGGTGGTTGGGGAGGGGGGGGTGGATTTTTATTTGTAAAACTTTTGAAAAATTTCAATAAAAAAAAAAAAAAAAAAAATTTACATGCTTTATTGAAACTCACATTTCATTTTTTCTCTTGAGCAAACATGTGTTGACTTACTTTCTTCTTTAGTATATCACATTTCTAGCTGGCCAAAGGGTAGTTGGAGAAGTGCTTCTTGTATTTAAACTACCTAAGAACATGTTAAATTACCCGTGTAGTGTTTGTAAGAGGAAGAGGACTAAGATTAATTAATTATTGTATTTTGTTTGTTTAAGAGCCTTCCATTGGTTTGCTGATCATTAATGAAATAAACATCACTGGTTAAATTGGTTAAACCTTCCAGTGACATTTCCAGATTTTACAGACCCAGGTAATACCCTACTGTCTAGGATTATGTCAGAGTACATATTTCCAGTATGCAATATTAGGCTAAATTGTTTCAAAAACTTAAACGTTTTCTTTTCTCTCTTGCACACTTGCATGTTTCTTTTCTTTTCTTTTTTATTTAATTTTTTATTGGGTACAAAGGAAAAAAAAGATTAAAAACATTGAACATGATAAATCGTCTTTGACATACATCTCCGTCTTGTCAGTCCATATTGTACATTAATTACATATGATATATCTATATACAACTGTACATTTCTAGTCTCTGTCTTAACTTATATCTTTGCTGTGATCCCCATTTTTCCCCTCCATCTATAAAATTTATTTCAGATTCGATAAAATTCTGTTTCCTCCTGATTTTTTAATCTTTCAGTTATCCTGTTTAGTTCTGCGCAATACATAATTTTCTTTATTAGTGCTTTCCCACTCGGTACTTCCATTGCTTTCCACTTTTGAGCAAATAGTATCCTTGCCGCCGTTACCACATGAATGATTAGATATGTGTCAGTTTTATTTACATTTTCCCCTAGTATTCCTAATAGTAATTGTTGAGTCCTTCGCGAAATGGCACGACACGAGAAGCAGTTGTAGTTCTCAGGAAACTTCTTTATTCATGTGTTCAGCTTACAGTTAGAAGACGCCGACAACGCCCAAAACTCCCGGCCTCTTATATAGGCCATCCCCGGGTAAATCTGCAACTTTTGGTGCACCAGCACTTGCGCATGCGCACAAGTACTGGCGACAGCCTGTCTGGTCCCGGGCAGCTTGCACCTGCTGGAACCGTTTGCAATGCCCCGAGCCTGCTTGCACAGGCTCAGGACATAACACCCCTTCCCCCCGGGCTAAAACTATTCCTTATACCATAATAACACATAACTCATTTCTGTAGTGTAGTGCCATGCTCCCCAATACCAGGTATTCCTGGTCTTCCGTCAGCCTCAATGCTCTATTTTTCTACTAGCTCTGTTTGGCCAAGAGGGTTACAAAATCCTCCAAATACTTAGGAGATTTCCTTGTTCTCTGTGACCTCCTAAGTTCAGGGTGCTTGCCAAGTACCCTCTGATTGAGGGGTGATGCGTGCCTGTCCCCCTTGTTTTGCCTTGGTGATTCCCAAAGGCTGTGCTCCACTGCCTGGCCTGCTTGCTTGCCCACCGGGCTCGTCAGGCCAGGGCTTCTTTCACTATGTGACCTGGTTGTCCTGCCTAGCTGTAGGCTCTCTGGCCCTTCTAAGTGACTGTCACTGTTGGGCGTTTCTGTAGAACCTCCTAGGTCCGTCCAAGACCTGTCAGGAGGCTGTCTGTCCCCTGAATCCTGTTCTGTGCCTGGGCTTGTGTGGGTTTCAGTACTGTCCCAAAACTCAGTTGTCCCCTGAGTTGAGTCAGAGGTGTTGTAGTCGGGATTTGGTTCCTCGACCACCTCCCTGTGTGTTTGCCCCCTTCTAGGGACAGGGGTAGTGTCGGGCCAACTCGAAGGAGTGTGTGCCAGCTCTCTTGCGGGGACTGGTTTATTGGGATGCTCCCGGGTATTCTCCCTGACTGGAGTACTGAGTGATGCGGGTGAGTAGTGATTATGCCCCCGGGGTAACTCCCTGGCTGGAGTAGGCGTTGATGCCTGGTATCTAGTTGGGCTCCTTGAATTCCTGTTTGGAGCACTCGCGGAATCTTGAGATGGGCTGATTGTGGCTTCCCCATTGATAATGGGCATCATTCCATGCCCCTCCCTTTGCCCAAAGGGCTCCCCCTCCCCCCCTGGAAAAGACCCAGGAGTCTCATCGGGAAGGTCCCGTCTAGAGCGAAGTTGGTCAATGTGCCGACACAGGACACGACCGTTGTCCAGGGATACCTCGTAGGATGGAGGACCTGTGACCCTGGATATAGATGCGGGGACCCATGTATGACCAGGCCCATAATTACGAGTCCAAACCGGGGCACCCACAAGTAGTTGCCTAGGTGCCCTGGGGTGTGAGACAGAAGGAGGCAGTCTGTCCGGATGCAATCGCTCAAGCTTGGTAGTCAGTTTGCGCCCCCAACGAAGTTCAGCTGGGCTTCTCCCTGTAGAAGTGGACGGTGTGGTGCGATAAGAAAGGAGGAAGTCAGCCAACCTGTGATGCCAGTCTCCGTAGGTGAGTTTCTTCAAGACGTCCTTGGTGATGTGCACCATGCGTTCAGCCATACCATTGGTGGACGGGTGGAAGGGTGCAGAGGTGGCATGACAAATCATGTTAGCCTGTAAGAAAGCTTGGAATTCGGAGGAAGTGAATTGAGGGCCGTTGTCAGACACAATGACGTCTGGGAGCCCGTGTGCAGCAAAAATCCCCCTCAGTACCCGAATAGTCTTTGCAGCGGTGGTGGATGAGACAGGTACAACCTCAAGCCATTTTGAATGGCTGTCAACGAGGACCAAGAAGAATTGACCCTGAAAGGGCCCAGCGTAGTCAATGTGCACCCTAGACCATGGAGATTGTGTTTCCTCCCATCTATGCACAGGAGCTTGGGGCATTTCAGGGCGCGAGCGTTGACAAAGGTGGCATGCATGCACCTTAGCTTCAATGTCTTTGTCTAGGCCAGGCCACCACAAGTGGCTGCGCGCAAGAGCCTTCATTCGTACAATGCCAGGATGACCCTCGTGGAGGGAACCTAAGACCCTAGTCCTCATTGAGGTGGGAATGACAACTCTGCTTCCCCAAAGCAGACAACCCTGAGAGGTGGACAACTCGTTCCTTTTTAGACCAGAAACTCTGAAACTCAGGACTAGGACAGTGCTCAGGCCATCCAGACAAAACCCAAGAAAGGACACGTGAAAGTGTGTGATCTGTGCCCGATTCAGCGGCGACATCCCTGGTATTCAGGGGAGACTCGGGCAAGGCTTGGATAGAGAGAATATTGATAGCTGGCGCAGGGTCAGCTTCTATTACCGGCAGGGGTAATCTACTGAGGCCATCAGCATGGCCCATTTCCTTCCCAGGCTTGTGAAGCAGGGAAAAATCATATGCAGATAAAAAGATAGACCACCTGAGCATCCTGGGGGAGATGATTTGGGGGGTTTGTTTACGTGTGGTAAACAGTCCCAGCAAAGGCTTATGGTCAGTAAAGACGTGAAATGCCTATCATATAAAAAATCATGGATTTTTTTAATTCCAGCAACAACAGCTAAGGCCTCCCTGTCTATTTGAGCATAGTTGCGCTCAGCTGAAGACAATGTCCTGGAGTAATATGCAACAGGAACCTGAGTTCCATCAGACCTGAGGTGGCTCAGTACAGTTCCTACCCCATAAGGGGAAGCATCACAAGCGATGCACACAGGAAGGGACTCATTGAAGTGTGCAAGTACACTGTTAGAAGTGAGCAAGGACTTGACCTCATTGAAACTTGCCTCATGTGTTTGTGACCACTGCCACACTGCCTGTTTATCTAATAGCCTGTGAAGAGGCTCAGCTACACTAGCCTTGTGTGGAAGAAAGGAATTGCACAGGTTCGCCTAGTGCACCAGTTGTGGCCTTATTTGGACCGGGAGGCTTTACTCACAGTCACTCATGCCCTTGTCACCTCAAGACTGGATTACTGTAATGCGCTCTACATGGGGCTACCCTTGAAGAGCGTTCGGAAGCTGCAGTTGGTTCAGAACGCAGCCACGAGAGCGATTATGGGCGCGCCAAGGTATGCCCACGTGTCACCTATCCTCCGCGAGCTGCACTGGCTTCCTGTGGGTCTCCGGACGCAATTCAAGGTGTTGGTTATCACCTTTAAAGCCCTTCATGGCATAGCGCCAGGTTACTTACATTCTGCCGCACAGCTCCCAGAGACCGGTGAGGTCCCATAGATTGGGCCTCCTTCAGGTCCCGTCGGCCAGACAATGTCGGCTGGTGGGCCCTCGGGGAAGGGTCTTTTCTGTGGTGGCTCCGACCTGGTGGAATCAACTTCCCCCCGAGGTTCGAACTACTCCCACCCTGCCGGCCTTTAAGAAGGCCGTTAAAACCCTCCTGTTCCAGCAGGCCTGGGGCTGATGTCCCCGGGGGGCCGGGATATGATCGGACTCGCGGTATGACTGCTTTATTTTATTGTTTTATCATTGTTTTAACTTTGTACGTCGCCCTGAGTCCTTTGGGATTGGGCGGCATATAAACACTGAAAATAAATAAATAAATAAATAAATTGTAGAAATTCAGAAGGCCCAGGAAAGCCTGTAGTTCGGCCTTAGACTTTGGCCTGGGGGCTTGCATAATGGCTTTTAGTTTGGATTCAGCAGGGTGAATCCCAGCAGCATCAATTTTGAACCCCAGAAACTCTGTGGAAGGCACCCCAATTTCACATTTGTCCTTCTTGAGCCTGAGGCCTGTTTTCCTGAACCTTAACAGGACAGCCCTTAACCTTTCAGCTAGAATGTGCGTGGAGTCTCCTTCAGTTAAGACATCATCAAAATAGGGGCAAACCCCTGGTATACCCCGTAGTGTGTTTTCCATTACGCTTTGGAAAATCCCAGGAGCGACATTTACTCCAAATTGAAGTCTCTTTACCTTGAAAGCCCCTCTGTGGGTCACAATAGTCTGAGCTATAGCAGCGTCATCATCAACAGGCAGCTGTTGATATGCTTGAGCTAGGTGAAGCTTTGCAAAAACACGCCCCCCCTTGAGGGAGGCCAGAATATGACTGTCCACAGGAACAGGATAGGCATGTTGCTGCAATGCCTTATTCAGAGTGCATTTGTAATCAGCACAGATGCGAATGTCCCCATTTGCCTTGAGAGGCGTGACAATGGGGGTCTCCCAGGGACTGGAGTCACCAGGTTCCAGAATTCCTTGTTGGATCAGTTTATCCAACTCAGTGTCAATTTTACTCTTTAAAGCAAAAGGGACCCTTCTTGCTTTAATTCTAATGGGAGTGACAGTGGGGTCTAGCTTTAAGGACACAGGAGGTCCTTTGAATGTGCCCAGCTGGGGGCTGAAAACATCTGCAAATTCTTTGCAGACTTCCTGTAGGTCGAGTG